CATTCAAAAAGAAAGTTTTATTAAGTATCCGCGAGTAAAAGAATTTAAACCAAAAAGAAAAGGAGAGCACTTTTTTTTTTTTCCCGACGAAGTGCATATCCTACCTGGATCTTCTTCGATAATGGTACGGAACCATAGTATCATTGGAATAGATACAAAAATAACCTTAAATAGAAGAAGCCAAGTCAGTGGGTTGGTCAGGGTGGATAGAAAAGAAAAAACAATTGAACTGAAAATATTTTCTGGCGAGATCTATTTTATTGGTCGCACAGAGAAAATATCCCAATGTAAACATGTTTTGATAACACCTGTAACGGGAAAGCCAAATTACAATCAAAGAAAAAAAATTACAAATTTGATTTATGCCCAACGGATTACACCAAGTAATAAAAAGTCTTTTGTCTTGATTCGACCTTGCATCAAATATGAAATAATAGACGGTATAAGTTTGACAACACTCTTTAATCCCGATTTATTGCGGGAAAGGGATAATGTGCAACTTCGGGTTATAAAGTATATCCTTTATCTAACTGACAAACTAATTCAAGAAAATTATGACCCAAGTCTTCAATTAGTTCGGGCGTGTTTAGTTTATCATTGCAACCAGGATACGAAAAGTTATTCTAGTGAAGCAGCCCGCACTTCCGTTTATGAAATAAGAATAAAAAATTTGATTCGTCATTTCCTAAGAATTAACTTTGCGAACGCACGACTTTCGTATATCTCAAAAAGGAATGATCCTTTGGGTTTAGGATTATTTGCTAATAATGAATTAATTTGGACCACAAAAAATTCATTTTCTAAGACACGGATTGACGAAACCCTTAACGAAAAAAAAGGAACTATTCATACATTTTGGAATCAAAATAAGGAATATAAGTCCTTTATTATTTTGTCATCATCAAATTGTTTTCAAATGGACTTTTTTAACGGTGTAAAATATCACAACGTCAGAAAAGCCTCAATACAAAAGCATTCCCCAAGCCTTGATATTAATAATTATTTGGGTCCTTTAGGAACATACCTTCCAATTGTGAATTGTGATTCGTTGAATCGGTTATTAACTAAAAATCTGAGTTTAGTCACTAATTATTTAAAACTCGACAAGGTAAAACTGCCCTGTCAAGTATTCAATTTTAAATATTATTTTCTTGCGGAAAACAAGAAATTTTACAATTTTAATCCATGCAGTAACATTATTTTGAATGCATTTAGTTTGAATGGGTCTTTTCTTTACCAAAATCATTGGACAGCGACATATAAAAGACTAAGTCTTGGACAGCTTATTTGTAAAAATGTATATATAGAAAAAAGAATACCTGTTATAAACTCGGGTCAAGTTATTCTTGTCAAACTTGACTCTGTAGTAATACGATCAGCTAAGCCTTATTTAGCCCCCCCAGGAGCAATTGTTCATGGCCTTTATGGAAAACCCCTTTTTGCCGGCGATACAATAGTTGCTTTTAACTATGAAAAATCAAGATCCGGTGATATAACACAAGGCCTTCCAAAAGTAGAACAGGTCTTAGAAGTGCGTTCGGTTGATTCCATATCAATGAATCTACAAAGGAGGTTTGTGGATTGGGACAAATTTATAACCGGAATTCTTGGAATTCATTGGGGATTTTTTATTAGTGCTGAGTTAACTATAGTGCAAAGTCGTATCTCTTTTATTCATAAGATCCAAAAAGTTTATAGATCTCAGGGGGTCCAGATTCATAATCGGCATATTGAAATTATTGTACGTCAAATCACAGCAAAAGTTTTAGTTTCAGAAGATGGAATTTCTAATGTTTTTTCGCCTGGAGAACTTATTGAATTGTTGCGGGCAGAACGGATGGGGCGTGCTTTAGAAGAACCTATTTATTATAGAGCCGTATTACTGGGAATAACAAAAGCATCTCTCCATACTCAAAGTTTCATATCGGAAGCGAGTTTTCAAGAAACTGCTCGGGTTTTAGCAAAAGCGGCTCTGGTGGGGCGGATCGATTGGTTGAAAGGCTTGAAAGAAAATGTTGTTTTGGGTGGGGTTATACCGGCCGGGACTGGATTCAGAGCATTAGTCTACCCCTCAAAACAATATAATAAAAGTTCCTTCCAAAAACAAAAAAACAATCTATTTGAGGCGGGGGTTAGAGATATTTTATTCCCTTATAGAAAACTTTTGAAATCGTTCCTTTCAAAAAATAAAAAAAAGATATCACATAATTGATAGGATTTAGAAAGATTCCTAAGAGCAAATTAATATCTTGTATGCTTTCTCAATTTCGCCGGTTGATTTAGAAATAGAAAAATAGAAAATAATAATTATTGGGGCGTATATATTATATATATCGGCAATTTAGTATAGATGACTATAGAGGATAAGGTTCCGTTGGAACACGTTTTTAATTTAATTCAAAATTCCTCGTTAATTTTTTTCTTAAACAGAATCTAAAAGGGGGGATCTATTTCAATGACAAAAAGATATTGGAACATCAATTTGGACGAAATGATGCAGGCTGGAGTCCATTTGGGTCATGGTACTAGGAAATGGAATCCTAAAATGGCACCTTTTATTTTTATAAAGCGTAAAGATATTCATATTATAAATCTGATCGGAACTGCTCGTTTTTTATCGGAAGCTTGTGATTTGGTTTTTGATGCAGCAAGTAGAGGAAAAAATTTTTTAATTGTGGGTACTAACACTAAAACAGCTAATTTAGTAGCCCGAGCTTCCATAAAGGCCCGATGTCATTATGTTAATAAAAAATGGCTTGCCGGTATGTTAACGAATTGGTCCACCACAGAAACAAGACTTCAGAAGTTTAGGGACTTGAGAATGGAACAAAAAAAGAGGGGGTTCCATTATCTTCCAAAAAGAGATGCAACTGTGCTCAAAAGACAATTAGCGCGTTTCGAAACATATCTGGGTGGAATTCGATATATGACAGGCTTACCCGATATTGTAATCATTATTGATCAGCACAAAGAATATATGGCCTTGCGAGAATGTATAACTTTAGGAATTCCAACAATTTCTTTAATCGATACTAATTGCGACCCCAATCTATCAGACATTTCAATTCCAGCAAATGATGACGCTATCTCTTCAATTCGATTGATTCTTAACAAATTAATATTTGCAATTTGTGAGGGCCGTTTTAGCTATAAAATAAATTCTTGATAAAGAAATAAAAAAATAACTAATAAAAAATTAAAAAACTTACTTCAAAAATAACATAGATTCCTTTCATAAGTTACTGAGTCTTCAAAAGTTAGATTTTTTGATTTGTTTCTATTAAAAATGACAAGATCCAATTGAATTAGACAAATAGATTTTGGCATTAAAATAATTAAGGGGGTCATATGAATCTTTTTTTTTTTTCTAGCAATTACCCCATGGGGTTATACGAAATATCTGGTGTAGAAGTAGGTCAACATTTATATTGGCAAATAGGGAATTTCCTAGTCCACGGCCAAGTCCTTATAACTTCTTGGGTTGTAATTGGTATCTTAATTGGTTCTGCTACTCTAGCTGTTCGCAACCCACAAATCATTCCTAATGGGGGTCAGAATTTATTTGAATATGTTCTTGAATTCATTCGAGATGTGAGTAAAACTCAAATTGGCGAAGAGTATACCCCTTGGGTTCCTTTTATTGGTACGATGTTTCTATTTATTTTTGTTTCTAATTGGTCCGGGGCTCTTTTACCTTGGAAACTACTCAGATTACCTCATGGGGAGTTAGCCGCACCCACGAATGATATAAATACTACTGTGGCTTTGGCTTTACTTACGTCAGCGGCATACTTCTATGCGGGTATTTCAAAAAAAGGATTAGGTTATTTCACTAAATATATAAAACCGACTCCCATCCTTTTACCAATTAACATCTTAGAAGATTTTACAAAGCCTTTATCACTTAGTTTTCGGCTTTTCGGGAATATTTTAGCTGATGAATTAGTAGTTGTTGTTCTTGTTTCTTTAGTCCCTTCAGCAATTCCAATACCCGTCATGCTTCTTGGATTATTTACAAGTGGTATTCAAGCTCTTATTTTTGCAACCCTAGCCGCGGCGTATATAGGTGAATCCATAGGGGATCCTCATTAATATTAATTACTTTGAAAATGGATAAAATGAACTAATGACTAGCGAAGGCCTAATTGCTAATTGATTCATTGTATCATTAACGATTTCTTTTTTTGTTACGTTTTCTTACGAGGAATTACTAATGAATCCACTCATTTCTGCCGCTTCCGTTATTGCTGCTGGCTTGGCCGTAGGACTTGCTTCTATTGGACCCGGAATTGGTCAAGGGACCGCCGCGGGTCAAGCTGTAGAGGGGATCGCGAGACAGCCTGAGGCGGAGGGAAAAATACGAGGCACTCTATTGCTTAGTCTAGCTTTTATGGAAGCTTTAACAATTTATGGATTGGTTGTTGCATTAGCACTTTTATTTGCGAATCCTTTTGTTTAATTTAGAATGATAAGACTAATAAATAGACTATTGAGGCTTTTTTTTTCAAATTATATTCAAAATCCCTCTTGGCATTACTTTATTGGTTGAGAAAAGAACCTTATGATACGCATGAAATACTAATACTTATTCTATTTTAATTGCTTTCATCCCTTCCACTTGTAGTTTAAGCTGACTTTTTTTTAGTGAGGTTTAGTAGATCCGCAAAATACACTAAAATATAATGTGGATTTAATATTGAATTAAGAAGTTATAATTAACTAACGAAAATCTGTTTTGTTTTTTACGTGATATTTATTTATTATTTATTGAATAAAATCAAAATAAAAAGCAAGGTGAAGTAAAGAGTCTTGTTTTATTTTAGTCTATACTATAAGAGGAGAATTTATGAAAAGCGTAACCGATCCTTTCCTTTCTTTCGGCCACTGGTCATCTGTTGGGAGTTTCGGGTGGAATACCGATATTTTAGCAACAAATCTAATAAATCTAAGTGTAGTGCTTGGAGTATTGATCTTCTTTGGAAAGGGAGTGTGTGCGAGTTGTTTATTTCAGGAATAGGCTGGACTAACCAGTTGTACTCTTACTCTTTATTTTTCTGAAAACTCGGAGAGAGAGGTGCAGTATCTCGCGAATTACTTCTGAATAAATAAATTTTCTGTAAGAACCATAGCATTTCGTCATTTACTGGTAAATCAACTTTGATTCTCTCTCAGCCACGACTATGATACTATGAACATGGTTAAAAAATCATTTGAAGTCAAGGCATTATATGGTACTCTTTCTATCACTATGTTCATTATAGAGATCTTTTCAAAAAAATATTTGATCAATAGAGGATGCTCTTATTGATTAAACTAAGGGAACCCCTTCATTTTTATTTTTAAATTTTTCAAAAAGAAGGGCAATTTCCCCTGTTTATATCCAAATCCAATGCTAAATGGACGGCCTGTGTTTAGAAATAAGTAATAAAATCTTTTGAAAAAAAAAACAACTTTGCTGACAATTACCGATTTTTTGGTTGTTTTGTTAGAAGAGTCCTCATCTATTTGGAATATTAACAAAGATAAAGAAGAAGGAAGAGAGGATAAGCTCAATCGAGTAATAAAGAAAAAAAAAAGATCATAATTTTTATTAAGTTTGATTTGAAGGAATTGAGCTTGAGAGCCAAATGAATTGAAAGATTCATGTTTGGTTCGGGAAGGGGTTTTTCTGTTTTGAAATGAAAGCAAAAAAAATCTACTTTCATTAAGTGATTTATTAGATAACCGAAAAAATAGGATCTTAAATACTATTCAGAATTCAGAAGAACTGCGTGGGAGGTCTAGTGAAAAACTAGAAAAAGCCCGAGCTCATTTACATAAAGTAGAAAGAGAAGCCGAGGAGTTTCGCCTGAATGGATACTCTGAAATAAAACGAGAAAATTTGAATTTGCTTAATTCAACTTCTAATATTTTAGAACAATTTGAAAATAATAAAAATGAAACTCTTCGATTTCAACAGGAAAGAGCTATTCATCAAGTACAACAACAGGTTTTCCAACAAGCCTTACAAAGAGCTCTAGAAACTTTGACTTGTTGTTTGAACACCGAGTTGCATTTACGTACTATTAGTACCAATATCCGCATGTTGAGCACACTTCAAGAAATCAAAGATTAGTCTTTAACGTGGCAGCTTTCACTCCAACCTCAGCTCTTTTTATTGGTTTGAGCAAGATACGAATTATTTAAAATTGAAATTAAAGAATATATTACTTCATATAAAATATTTTATAGCGGAGGTATTATTTTTTATATAAGAAGAATTTAAGAACGAATCATGGGAACGATCCAAGCTGATGAAATTAAGAATATTATTCGTGAGCGTATTGAAAAATATAATAGAGAAATAAAGATTCTCAATACTGGTACCGTCCTTCAAGTAGGCGATGGCATTATTCGTATTCACGGTCTTGGTGAAGTAATGGCAGGGGAATTAGTAGAATTTGAAGAGGGTACAGTTGGCATTGCTCTCAATTTGGAATCCACCAATGTTGGTGTTGTATTAATGGGTGACGGATTGATGATACAAGAAGGGAGTTCTGTAAAAGCAACGGGAAGAATTGCTCAGATACCGGTGGGTGAAGCCTATTTGGGTCGTGTTATAAATGCCCTGTCAAATCCTATTGATGGGAAGGGCGAAATTTCATCTTCTGGATTTAGATTAATTGAATCCCCCGCCCCAGGGATTATTTCGCGTCGTTCCATATATGAGCCTCTTCAAACTGGACTCATTGCTATTGATTCAATGATACCTATAGGCCGTGGTCAGCGAGAATTAATTATTGGAGACAGACAAACTGGTAAAACAGCAGTAGCTACGGATACGATTCTAAATCAAAAGGGTCAAAATGTAATATGTGTTTATGTAGCTATTGGTCAAAAAGCATCTTCTGTGGCTCAGGTAGTTACTACCTTACAAGAAAAGGGAGCCTTGGAATATACTATTGTGGTAGCCGAAATGGCGGATTCCCCTGCTACACTCCAATACCTCGCTCCTTATACAGGAGCAGCTATGGCTGAATATTTTATGTATCGTAAAAAACACACTTTAATCATTTATGATGATCTCTCCAAACAAGCCCAAGCTTATCGCCAAATGTCTCTTCTATTACGTAGACCACCTGGTCGCGAAGCTTACCCAGGAGATGTCTTTTATTTGCACTCACGTCTTTTGGAAAGAGCCGCTAAATTAAGTTCTAAGTTAGGGGAGGGCAGTATGACTGCCTTACCTATAGTAGAAACGCAATCGGGAGATGTTTCTGCTTATATTCCTACTAATGTAATTTCTATTACTGATGGACAAATATTCTTATCCGCCGATCTATTTAATGCTGGAATAAGACCTGCTATTAATGTGGGTATCTCTGTTTCCCGAGTGGGGTCTGCAGCTCAAATTAAAGCCATGAAAAAGGTAGCTGGTAAATTAAAATTAGAACTCGCCCAATTCGCTGAATTAGAAGCCTTTGCCCAATTTGCTTCTGATCTCGATAGAACTAGTCAAAATCAATTAGCAAGAGGTCAACGTTTGCGCGAATTGCTTAAACAATCCCAATCCGCTCCTCTCACGGCGGCAGAGCAGATTATTACTATTTATGCTGGAATAAATGGGTATCTTGATTCATTAGAACTTGGACAGATCAGCAAATTTCTTATTAAGTTATATACTTATTTCAAAACTAATAAACCTCAGTTCCAAGAAATCATATCATCTACTAATACATTTACCGATGAAGCAGAAGCCCTTTTGAAAAAATATATTCCGGACCAAAAGGATCGGTTTCTACTTCAAGAAAAACTTTAAATAACTACTTCAATCAAGAAATTCAAACACAATAAAGATATATGAAAAAATTGCGCCCAATAGGATTTGAACCTATACCAAAGGTTTAGAAGACCTATGTCCTATCCATTAGACAATGGACGCTTTGATGCTCCTTTTTTTCATCTTACCCCTCAAAATTATTTGTAAAAATAAATAATCAGATCAGATTCAAGGTGATTTTTATATTCCCCTTCAACAAGATTCTCATTCATGAGCATCTACAAATAAATCTTTCAAATTAGAATCATTTTTATTCAATATGAAATTCAAAATGATTTTCTACTTCCTTAGAAAACAACGCCCGGTGGAGTAAGGACCGGGCCGTGCGAACAAGAATAAACTTTTCAACATTTCAAAAATTAAATAAAAAATCCAAAGAAAACATCTTCTAACTCTTAATTTAGATTTTTCTAAAATAATATAAAAATAATATAATAAGAAGATTTTAATAATGAATTAAAGAATAGATTTAAAAGCATAATCCAAATAAAAAAAATTACTGAGTTCTATGTGTATTATAAAATAAGAATTCTCTAAATAAAATTTGGAGAGATGGCTGAGTGGACGAAAGCGTCGGATTGCTAATCCGGTGTACGAGTTTTTCGTACCGAGGGTTCGAATCCCTCTCTTTCCGTTTTTGTGGATCGTATTATTTCCGTTATTTTTTTTTTTGAAAAATTTTAAAATTCGTTTTATTTTATTCTTCACGTCCAGGATTACGCCTTGGATCATTAGATAGGAACCCAAATATAAATAGAGAAACAAAAAAGATGACTACTGTGTATACGAATAGTTTTAGAGTAAGCATTAAAAATCTCCAATATTTTTTATTGAAAAAAAATAAATAGAATATATTTTCTATTTTGAGACCACATATGTAATATAGGTACCAAGAAACAAAGTTGAAATCAAGTTAATTTTCTAAACAAAAAAATTTCATAAATCAAATTTAAATAAGAGTTTGCCAAATTAAATATGGGGAATGGTCCTAATCCTAGTAAAGCAAGGAATTTCTTATTTGACTCAATTTTTTAATTAAGTATTTCATCGAAAACTAACAACAGCCTGCCAAACAAAAGCTACAAGAAAAAACAGAACAGGTATGATTGGCATAAAATCGACGATTGGATTCAAAAAAGCATAAGATTCGGGTAATTTGCCGAATAAAAAACTGCTCGAATAGAAGACATAATTAAGACAGATAAAACTAAGCATAAAAAACATTTTTTTTTAGATAATGAATTATTGAGATATGATATTTATATAATTCATATGAATATAAAATTATATACAATTTGTAGAGCGGGCGCAAAATATTGATTCCTCTTTTTCTTTGGACCCTTCACAATGCTATAAATATTTCAATATTTTTAATATATTATAATAAAATATACAATATATGAATATACAGAATAAATCAATTGATACATAAAAAAACACCAGAACCATAGAATCCAATTGATATTCATTTGAAATTCAATAGACAAACATCAAATGGTTATTTAATTTTTGAAGTATTGAATATCAGTAAAAGTGGGGCGTGGCCAAGTGGTAAGGCAACGGGTTTTGGTCCCGGAATTCGGAGGTTCGAATCCTTCCGTCCCAAACCTTTTTGATCTTTTTTTTCTATCAAATATAAATAGTCTATTGAGATAGAAATAATAGAGAGAAAGGAATCTATCTAACTAAGTAAATTATATAGAGAACCTAAATGGATAGTATGTTTAGAGAAAACTCGAACCAATACTAGAGACTTTTCAGGATTCCCTGATTTAATCAAGTACATATTGGTTCCAAATTATAATAAATAATATTATGGTCCAATGTTGTTTGCAACAATGTGGTATAAAGCAACGTGTCACTTTAAAGATGAAAACCAAGATCCTTTATCTTGTTACATCCACCATTTTTCTTTTTTTATAAAGAAAATAATAGGTTATTCGCTTGATAGCAGTGAATCTGTTCCATATGATAGAAAGAATGCTCTTTTGTAATAGTTTGTAATAGAACGAAATTTTAATGTATATTTTAATGTATATAGTTAGGGTTTTTTTGTAAAAAAAAATAAAAAAAAAAGGAGGAACTTAAAATAGATTTACAGCTAGAGAGATCGAAAGAACAGAATTTCCTGTATCCACTTTTATTTCAGGAGTATATTTATGTCCTTGTTCATGATCGTGCTTTAAGTGGGTTAAAAGGATCAATTTCTGCTAAAAATATAGGCTATACAAAAAAATTTAGTTTTCAAATTGTGAAACGCTTAATTACTCAAATGTATCAACAGATACAGCTCACTCATTATTATTCTAAAAAAAGTCAAATTTTTAGAACCAGCAAGTTTTTCTATTGTAACCAGTTAGCTGAGGTTTTTGCTTTTATTTTGGAAATTCCGTTTTCTTTAAGATTCATATCATCAGAGCGCAAAAAAACGAAACTCTTAAAATGTAATAATTTACGGTCAATTCATTCCATATTTCCCTTTTTTGAAGACAATTTATCACATTTAAATTTGGTATTAGATCTACTAATCCCCTCCCCCCCTCATCAGGAAATTGTGGTTCAAATAATTCGGTATTGGGTAAAAGAGGCTTCTTCTTTACATTTATTACGCTTCTTTCTATATGAGTTTTATAATTTTCAAAATTTGAATAATCCCAATAGGTCCCATTACCTTTTTACAAAAAGACCTGAGCGGCTTTTCTTCTTATTATATAACTCTTATTTATATGAATATGAATCCGTTTTTGTCTTTCTCCGCAACCAGTCTCTTCATTTCAAAGCAATCAGTTTTCGAGCACTTTTGGAACGGAATATTTTCTATGGAAAAATAAAATGCCTTTTAGAAGTATTTGAAGAGGATTTTCCTGCAAG